TCAAGCAGTCCTCCTGTCTTGGTCTCCCAGAGTGCTAAGATTACAGGTGTGAGCCACTGCCTGGCCCTTTTCTGTTTTTTGAGACAAGGTCTTGCTCTGTTGCCCAGGCTAGAGTAAAGTGGCATCATCATAGCTTACTGCAGCCTTAAACTCCTGGGCTCAAGTGATCCTCCTGCCTCAGCCTCCCACGGAGCCGAGACCATAGGCACACACCACGATACCTGGCTAATTTTTAAATTTTTGATAGAGACAGAGTCTTGCTACGTTGCCCAGGCCAGTCTTGAACTCCTGGTCTCAAGAGATCCTTCTGCCTCGGCCTCCCAGAGTGCTGGGATTACAGGTGTGAGCCACCATGCCCAGCCAAATTTTTAAAATTCAAGGTGTATATTATATGTCCAACATATCTGAATTTAGACTGGCCACATTTCAAGTGCCCAGTAGACGCATAAAGGACAGCGCAGATGTAAGGGACAAATATTCCTGAGTGTAGGTCAGAATTTTTGTTTTTTTTAAGAGACAAGATCTTGCTATGTTGCCCAGGGTGGGGGTGCAGGGGCTAGTCACAGGTGCAGTCATAGCACACTACAGCCTTGAACTCCTGGTCTCAAGTGATCTTTCTGCCTTAGCCTCCCAAGTAGCTGGGACTACAGGTGTGCCACTACACCTGGCTTTTTTTCCCCCCATAAGGATTTAACAAGGCAATTGTGGGTCAGTTTTCATTCTTCAATGGAAACTAATAATGTGATTTGACACCTTCAGTTATATGCTGGTGGATACGGAGAACAAATAACACTCAATTCAGATGTTACCTGAATTAGAAGACAAAGGTAACCCAGGGATAGCTGGGTGCTGTGATCCTCAGTTTCTCAGTTAATGGGTGGTCAGATTGCACATCTCTTCCAAAGAGAATAAAGTGTGAATTATAAATGTTTCTCTGCCCTGTCCCTGTTAGCATACACATTTACATTTCTCATGAAAAAAAATTTAGGCACCAACACCATTATTAGGATAGGAAAAATAATATCAAATCAGAGGAAGAACTAGGACTAGAAGAAACTAGACCCAACTACATTCTATTTTTTTTAATCTCTAATTAAGTGACTAGTACTTAGTTGCCAACAATTTTAGTAATATTTCTATTCTATGCGATTTCCAGGTGTGTATGTCCATTTTGCCAGAGGGAATTGGATGAAGACAGCTTGCTGGATCATTGTATCACTCATCACAGATCGGAAAGGAGACCTGTAGTAAGACTTTTTGTAACATATGTTTTAGCAATGTCTGAATTCAGGATACAATAGAAAATCCATTTATTAGATTTCTATGTATAGATATATTATGAGGGATAATAATTTATGTTAAGGCTATAATTTTTGACTCTTTGCAATATGTGAAAGTGTTGAGTTGAAACTGATGAGAATTACTAATGTATAGTCACTCTTTCATTTATGAAACTACACATTGTCTCTTATAGATAAACATGGGTATAATCGACTAAAATGATCCAAAATGCACTGTTAATTAGTTAAGATTTAATTTTAGAATACTACCAGTGGTCATATCCTAAGTTAAAAACATTTTCAAATAATGCAAATGATGTCATTATGACAATACATTAGAAATGAAAAGAAGGTAGTTATTCATCTTCATTAATTAATCTATTATTTTATTTCACAGTCAGTATTTATCCATATGCTTGCATATTTAATATATATATTGCTCATCATTTCCTAGATTCGTTGTGAATGCTGACTTTTTTCATTTCAGCCTGGCATTGTAGTTCTGTTTTACAGTGTGGTTTTTGTAATTTTCATTTTTGTATAGTTGTAAGGTAAAGCAGAGTGGATACCTTAACATTTACTCAAGCCATTTTACTACTATTTTTGAACATTTGGACTGTTACTAATTTTTAGGATTTGAATTCATATTCTTATATTCTTGTGCATTTAAACTTTCCCTTATATTATATTTTTTTCCTAGGAGGAAATTCCTTAGATTGATATTTCTGGGATCAAT